ATCATGAGGGTGTTTAAGGAGCTTCAGGAAGCTCAGATGAAGAGTGTGTCTCTTTGTGCTGGAAGGTAAAAGCAGCTATGAAAACCACAGGTGAAAATGTTGACACAGAAAGCATCTGGATTGAAATTAATATTCAGGCAGCTCAGACTCTGCCAATACTCAAATAAAAGCTCCAACTGCTTTTTGCACAAGCTGTTGTAGCTCATGGAGCACCATTTGGCCATGCAGGGAAGAGAGCTGATAGTTCCACATGCATTTCAGGACTTGATAGCTTTGGTGACAGTAGATCAGATCATTAATTATTCCTGTTTATTCAGTTGGGAGGCTCCATAGTCTGTTAGTGAGGGCAAAAGGCTGAGAATTTTGCCACAGATTTACCATGTGACTTCAAGCAAACCCAGTCTTTGGATCTCCATTTAAAGGCCTTTCAAGTAGATTTTTTTTCTTTCGTTAAGAGTTCAAGAGCTGTTGAAATTTACCATTTAAATTTTTTATACCTATGTAATTATTGCTGACAGTTCAGCAGATCTTGCCTCAGTTCTGTGGGCTTCCTTGGAGTTCCCTGGTTTCCAGGACAATATACCTGGACTATGTGATGGGAGGGGTGGCTACAAAGCAGCAGGGACTTGTTGCTGACCTAGATGCTGCACAAGACTTTTCTGCATGATGCCAAACCTCACAGAGGAACTAGAAAAGCAGCAGCTGTTGTGACAGTGTCACATTTTGCACGAATCGGCTTTTTGGTTTCACTTCAAAATTGGCAGATTGTTAATAAATAAACCAGCCCCTTCCTGCTTGAGCCCTTTCTCTTGGCAGCCTTCAGGGCTGCCAGTGGCAGTGCTGACCAGCTTCTCCCTGCTGCAGCATTTGTCAATAGACTGAGGGGTGGCTTTCGTGTCTCGGGCTGATGGTAACAATGAAAAATGCTTCACACGCTTTTTTTTTCTTTTTGTAAAATTGTTCTTGGGCACCAGGGAGTGAGAATGTTGGTGTGGTATCTGCTAGAGCAGATAGAGACCAGCCCAAAGTTGTGCAGCACCTTGTGTCCGTGTTAGAGCCCAGGGAGCCAGCTGAGGAGAAGGTTCAGTTTTTCCTGCAAACCCCTTTATCCCAGTTCCAGCCTCTGTGGGAACAGCTACAGGGGGGTGTCCTCAGCACTGCTGGTCCTCCTGGGAGATCAGGGAGCTGCAGCACATCTGGAGGGGTGAATGTGCACCCACACCTGAGGGAGTTTCCACTCCCACAGGGTGCTCTGTGCTCCTGGACTCCATCCAGAAAAGCACTTCCCTGTGTGACTGTGTCTGTTTCTGGGAATCTCACGGGAGCACCTGGCTGGGGCAGGGCCAGCACACTCAGGGCTCTGCAGGGTAAAACTTTCAAAGGAATAATTAATGGGAATCACAAAGGACAAGATTTGTAGCTTAATAACAGGGACTCTACAAGGTGGGCATGGAGAGCTTGGGAAGTGCTGGCTCCAGGGGCAGGTACCTGGGACTGATTCAGCTGAAGGCTTAAAGTCCTGCTGCCATTGGGAGTGAGGTATTGAAGTCTCACTAAAGCATCAGATGATAATGAGGAACAAGTGATTGAAAAAAGTGCTAATACCTGCATACCCACTTCTGTGGGAGTCCCTGGGTGTTCTGTTTCCAGCTTGGAAATGTGGAAATACTTCTTCACCCCCAAGACTCACAGTGACACAGGAGGGGCAGGTTCTCGTCCGTCGTCTTCTTCACTGGAGGGTTTGCTGAATGCATCAAGTCATGCTTATTGAAGCTTTGGGATCTTGTGGCTTGGGTGTTGTGTTTTTTTGGTTGTGGGTTTTGTTTTTTTTTTAATGACAGTTTATCTGAGCTCAGGGAATGAATGGATAACGTTACTATTTACATAAGCTCATTGTGATCTGTCTCGGTAATGTAATCAAATTAGGGTTAACTGCAGCTGGAGAATGCCAGCTTGTAAACTGTTTTTCAAAAAGAATCACATGGTGTTACTTGACATGTTTAGTATACATTCGGGAGGCTTTGCAAAAATTGCAGCACATCCCTAACTGATGTAACTAAGTCAGGGTCCTGTTGCCACCAGCTTGCTGGGGCTGGGGAGAGGGAAGGCAGCAAAGCTCCCCAGCAGGATGAGGAGAATCCACCTCCAACCAGCTCCCTCAAACACACCTCGTCCTGACGTGGCTGCTGCTGACATGTTGTCTTTCTTTTGGCTAAAATCAACATATCAGTTGATAGAAAAAGCATATGGTGTAAATTTTGAGTACATTTAAGAACATCTGTGTTAACTGCAAAAGTGCAGCCCACTGTGCACGTCAAGCACTATATTTAGATATTCAGTCTTACAGCATTCGGCATAAGATGAAGTCCAGCCTGAGCTAAAATTACCCAATGAGTAGATTTTCAAAGTATCTTTTGTTATTCTTTTTAATAAACATTGCATCTGGTACTTACTTTCCCTCTTTCTCCCTTTCTCATTGAATGGGGAGGTGCTGTTCCCATGGCAGCTCTGCAGGCACCACGCTGGGCTCTGGCTGCAGAGCCTGGGCTGGCAGGACAGTCCTTGCCCCTCCGAGCTCACAGAATGCCCCTGTGCCTGATCCAGCCCCTATTCCTATTCCTCTAGAACAGGGTTGTCAGACAGCTTTCCTTCCCAACTGGGAATGCAAAGGAATTCTGAGACTTCCCCCACAGCCTGGGGAGGTTCTGTCCCTACACACACTACACACCTCACCAAGCACCAACAGTAGTTCAATGTCAAGCAAAGAAGAAATGGGCAAACAGGAAACTGAGGACATTCAGGTGATGTGCCATGTCTGAGTTAGTGCAGAAAGTCTGTGGCAGAAGTTAGTCCCATACTCTTCCATTTTGGACATAGTAATCTTTTTAAAACCTGTTGTAGAGGAAAGGTGGAAAATACGGTCTAAAGAGAGTTTCCAATCTCCTACTACTGCTAAAATACCTTTTCCCACATGTAAATGTTCTGATAGTTTGAGTGTGAAGATGGTTCTAACAATACTAAAATTCTTCATGAAGTTGGAGGTTGTTTCCCCAGAAGTTCTGTAAGAGAAGGAAACTGAACCAATACTTTGCCTTGTCAAAAATCAGCCATTTTGAAATACTCTGAATTACCTGGTAGAGCAGCAGCCACTGATGCTTTGCTGTAGAAGCACCATTTTTAATTTGTATGAAATGCTTTTTGCAGAAATTCCCTAAGAATTTTGAAATTAGTGATCTGCTCTGAATTGAGGGGAAAAAACAACAAATACGGTTTGAGAAACAGAACTTGCCCCTGGAGCTCAGATCTGTCCAAACCAACAAAAGGAAGCTTGTGTTGGCATTTGGATTGAGACTCAGGAATTCCTGACTCTTAAGCCTGTTTATACAGGACTGCACCACAGCCCAATTTGCACTTCATTTTGATTTTCTTTCCCCTCTACGTTTATGGTCATGCTGAACGGGGGGATTATGCACTCTGGATGCACATACTTAACCAATTGTATTGAAAGATATTTTTTTTGCATATAATAATGAGAGTTAAGTGTCTTCATTGGGAGGCAGCAGTGTTCCATAGGGCTTTGCAGTCATTTAGCATAGGGATGGTTTATGTTGCAGCTCTGGGTTTCATGGCCTCATTCTCAGAAGGCTCTGGAGTGTCACTGGTTCCCGGTGGAAGGTCTGGGAGCTGCGAGGGCTCCGCTCTGGGGACAGTCAGCAGGTCCCCCTGAGCTTCTGGCTGCATGTGACAGATATTTGACTTCCAGTATTTCAGGGTGAGATTTCAGCCCGCCTGTGTGCACACACAAGTGCAGGAACACGCAGGGTTTTATGGCACCTCTTGGTGCTATTTTCCTTTCAACTGCTTTGTAACCCATTCAGGCTCTGTTAGGGCTGTTGTTACCGAATGGGTTGGGATTCTTAGTGTCTAAAACATGACATGTTATTACAGCTGAGCTTGGAGATGTTTACCAGCATTTTTTTAACTTGGTAAATTGGTCGATCTCACCTGGGCATAGTCAAAGGGGTCCAAGAGCTTTGTGCCAAATCCTCAGCTGCTGAGACACAGGAGCCTCCTCGGCCCTTCTGTTTGTTACTGAGGTTCCTTGCAAGGTCCAACCCTGCTCATTTCATCTTGGGTTTCCTGAGTTTTCTTCTCCTTGGAGCTTTTTCCCACTGCTCTTTGGTAGCCAAAATACATTGCCTGGCCTTGGCAGCCCTGAGCCCCATGACCCCACCTTGGCACTGAGACCACATTGAACCTGGGACAGCCGAGATCCCCCCGGGGTCAGGGGAGCTCCTGAGAGCCCGGGATCCCGGCTGCTCCCTCCGGGCCCGGCGGGCTCTTCATCCCGAGGGATGCTGAGTCAAGGTACTTGACCTCCCTGAATGCCCACTGACCTGCAGCTAATCTGAGGTAGAGCACAGCAGTGTTTTAATGACTTGTGTCCCCACACCTCGGCTGGAGGAGGAATTAAAGAGCTCCCCGCGCCCTCGGGACGCTCCGCTGGGGCGAGGGAAGGTCCTGGCTGGGCTCCAGGCATGGGGAGGGGAGAGCAAGGGGTCTGTGATGGGAAAGGAGCCTCCAGCCTCTCTGGGGGTGCAGGGGGGGTGACTGTCACAGGCCTGACCCTGTCCTGTCACCAACTCCTCCCACCCAGCCCCTGGCAGGGTGACCGCGGTGCTGCCCGTGGGCACCCGCTCCAGAAGAGCCCTCAGGTCTCCCTCTCAGTGCCCACGCTCTGCACCCCCTGCCATTTGGGGAGGGAACACCTGGTCTTGGCTGCCAAATACAAGACAGAAATGATGTATAGAAGCTACAAGCATCTAGCTTTCAAAATGTCTGCGTCGTTCTGTTGCAGGTGAGACTTTTGGCTTTAAAACAATAATGATGATAATAATAAAAATCATCATCAATCATCATCTTTATTATTTTATGACATTCTCAGTTGCAATTCCAACTTAATTTTTTTTTTCCTGTTTTGTTTTGTTTTTTTTTCACAGCAAATACTGACTGATCCTGAGGTGACCTCCCAAGAGGGCAATATCAAAAAGGTAGGACATGGTCCAATCTTACACACCTTGCTCTGCTGTCTGGCTTTGAAACACACGTAGCCATTTTTCTCTCTTCCTCTTGGAGGAAGGTGTGTATCACAAAAGCGTCCCAAAAGTTTTCCAGTGTTTGCTGTTGCTTTTTTGGATTACATATTGTGGTTCCATTGGCATATTTTCCTGTCTTTTGGTGATTCCAGTATTTGTGAAAAAGAAAATAGCAGTTTGAAGTGTTCCTTGATCCAGCTACAATATAAACAGCTATCAGTCCAAATTGAAAAACCTCATTTACCTCTTTTCCAGTAAAAGAAAATGTTGGTCCTCTGTTAAAAGTGCTAAATTTTCAGAGGTCACTTCACTCTGTAAATGTGGCTTATGTGCAGTCCAAGGGAAAAGAGATACACAGAAGGATAAAATTTAACTCTCATGATGTGTTACTGGTGCTTTTCATCATATTGTGATGCTTAAACTATAATACTGACCAGAGAAAAACGTGTTCCAAGTACAGCCCAGCTGCATAAATTTCTTCCTAGGAGCTGTGAGGCAGCCTCAGTGCTGCATGTTCCAGTAGCCAGAGCCTGATCTGGGTCGGGGTTACTCTCAGTAACTCTGCCATGATGTTCTTTCCCTGGTTAACAGCTTTGCTGGAGGGAAGTGTTCCAAGTTATGTCTGCTTTCAGGCTCTCTGGGTGTTGAGAGTTGGTGTGTGCTGGTTCAAATAACGAGCTAGCTGCAGTTCTTGTCATGTGCAATTGTCTTATCATGGGCATTCCCAGCCCTGCTCATAAAATAGGAGTTTTTCAAAGTGGAAAATATTTTAAATCAGAACTTGCAACAACTGCCATTTCTACTCATTCATTTAGGCAACTTTTACCAGTGTTTCTTTCCTCTGAAAGCTAAAAGGAAACACTAGTTTGGCTCTGCCAAACAAAGAGAAATATAATACTTGTCAGGCTCCAAAGTTAGTTTGGGATAAGACACTTAGACCCATGTCTGGTGTGGCCCTTCTCTCCTTCCCATTGAGGAAAAGAAGCTTTTCTTTGAGGCAGCCAGGCTGCCAGTACCAACCATCCTCTGACCATCCCCTGACCTTGCCCAGGACCTATCACAACACTGCTGAACTTTTTACCTTGTGCATCTCCATAACTCACTTGGGGCTTGTCTTTGCCTCTGTGGGATCCTTTTGTCTGAGCAGACTTGGTGACAAGGCGGCAGGTTCTTATTATCACCAGGCACTTATCACAGGGATGGAGTCAATTCTTCATGGCTCAGGGCTGCTCAGCTATTTCTTTCTTGGTCTTTGATTCCAAGATCAGAAATTAATTCTGCATCCCTACCTCAGACAACCTGCATCACCAGGCTTTGTATGAACCAAGGGTATGAAACATTAGGCTGGCAGCTTCACACGTTGGGTACATGGGGCTGTATTTAAACTTCATTGCTTTTGTTTCAAAGGAGCATGTTGCCAGAACTGCAGGCCTTTGGAAAACATTGTGTCCTTAAATATTTTCCTGTGCAGCAGGTATAAAACTGGACAATTACGATATTTGACAAGGGGGGAAGGACTGGCCTTCCACTTCTGTCTTTTAAGTGCATCGTAGAGAAGCACTAGTGGGAGTTTATGAGGTGATAAATTTATTGAAGGATGGGCAGTAGGGTTTTACAGCTAGGGTAAAAAAGGTCAAAGCAGTAAGGTAAAGAGTTCAAGTCTAAACTTTATGGCTTGTGAAAAGACTACTGCTAGACAGCTTTTCAGTCAGGAGAAAATGAAAAATAAAGAATGGAAAATAATTCTGTACAATTTTTGTAGTATCTTAAAATTGTTTGTAAGTAGTACTCTAGCATTTTGCTGCAGTGGTACAAAGCCCTCTTGGGAGAAGATTTCCTTTTCCAGCCTCTCTGAATCGTTCAGTTGTCATGTCCCTGAAGACGCAATAGTTGAGATTTGACTTCTATTTATTCCTGTTCTCTCAGAGATAAGTTGGTGGTGAGAAGGTGACTGAAGACAAATGTAAGTGTAGTGGGTGGGCTGATTTAACTGGGAGCAAAGGAAGTTAGAGCCAGGCAGAGGGACCAGAATTTTCAGTGGCTCATTTGGTGGTTCAGAGTCAGGTTGTCACAAGGACTAGAAGAAGAGAAAAAAATATCTCTAGAATGCAGAGAAAATCTGTAAAAATGGTAAAAAAAAAAAACAGAGCAGGGAAGTGTGATAGCAAGGAAAAGGCACAGGAAGCAATCTCTGCTTAAAAATTGACCCCAGTGTTATTTCTGCTGTTAAGCTGCCAGGGGGAAGGGGGATGGAGGGGGAAGAAAAAGGCAGCTCTTTAGGTAATTGTCATAAACTGAAAGGCAGTGAGAAGTGTGAGGGGGCAGCACAGCAGCCACTGTTCTGTTGGAGAATAAAGCAGGCCCTTGTTTGGCTTGGAGCAAAATAACAAGTATTTTCCCAGTATGTCCAGTATGTTTCAGTTTGTATTACTGTTATTTCTGCTGGGACCACTGTCACCAGAAAGCTGGCCGGTTTGCTAGTGGTTGTCTCACAAGAATGAAGAATTCTAGCATTGGTATTACAGGGCCTGTATCCAGGGTTGTTCTTCCATGTCTGGGAAGATGCTGTGCCATAGACTGAAACGTGCTGTGCTCCCAGGGAGTTTTCCTCTTATCTCCTTTGCTTGTTGGTACTTAGCTTAACTTGCACAAATATGCATCAGCTCCTCATCCTGTTTGTTTAATTTGTAATAATTGATTGTGAAAGTAATGCTGAAGGGAGTAATGGGAGGTTAACTATTTTAGTGAGCTGGGTGCACACTCTCAGAATGTGCACCAATACATAAGTCATACCTGGGGGCTTTTATTATCCCCTATTCCCAAACACAGGGTTTTTTTCCAAGCCATCTTCCTGCAGGCTGTTTATTTTGCTTAGAGAGCAGCTCCCATGTTCTCCTCCTCTGAATTTTCTAAGCTTCTCCACCACATTCAATACACTGGAAACATGGGCTTGTTACCATTATCTTCATTGTCATTTTGATTTAACTTTGAGGGGGAGATGAAAGATGTAGACTTCCTCTGGCAGGAAACAGGGTCAGTGTCCATTACAAGACACCTTTTTTTCCCAGGGAGCTGTGCTGGGTGTATTTCTGTCTCCTCTAAAAGTCACTTTGGCTGCTGGTTTGAGCCTGCTGGGGAGGGAGGCTCAGTGCCTGCAGCTCCTCACCCACCTCCCCTGGATGGGCTGTTTTTCTGACTATGGTGACAAGAGACCTCGGGGACTTCTCTCTTCAGTAGACTCTCTATTTAGTTTCTGTTTACTTAGAGGGAATAGCCTGAGGGGCTACTGGAGAGAAAACATCTGTGGGAGATAATCTATAGAGTTATCTATCTATCACTCTTGTCGACCCTGTCTCCCCTGAGAGCAGGCTGAGAGACTTGTAATAAAAAGGCATCGCTGAAGAGGCTTTAGGGACAAATAAAGAGACATGTTAAGGGCCAGCTGAAAAAGGATAGAAGACATTATTAAAGCTCAATAGCCGTCTTATCAAAATCCAATAGGATAGGCATTGGGCAAAAGGCTTTAAATTTATTCTTTGACTTTCTGGAGAGCTTGAATTTATCCATTAACAAGAAGGTAGCACAGGGGGAGATGCTATCGGCTTCAAAGGGCTTGGATTCAATCTGGGATTGTACAAAACATAACAGAAACTAAAGACAAAACCCATTTTTCCCCCCACTTTGGCTGGCTTCATACCTACCTTGCACAATGTCAGGAGCTGGTAATATCACGCTGATGACACTACAAACTGAAGTAATTTATGCAGCACAGGAGTTTATTCTCTGCTCCAAATCTCATAGGCTTTTTGTAAAAATAAAGTTACTGTTGGAAAAGTAGGTGAGATTAGAAATCTTGACCTCCTAGAAAGCACCAAGCAGTAAACAAGAAACATAGGTAGATGGAAAGCTCTTATTCTTAAAACAAAAGTAAAAATCAGCTAATGTTTTGTTCCTGCAGATGCAAAGCAGGATAGGGCCATAAATCTTTCTAGGTTTATTATTATATACAAAATGCTATAGGTCACAGGAACCATCTGATACTTCAGAAAGACATTGTTCACACAAGATGATTGATTGATAATTATGATAATTTGCAAAATGATTATTTGGGTATTATAACCATAGTTTGTCCCACTGGATTGCTGTGAAGACATTTTCTATATCATGGGCCGTCAGAAATGGCCTCTGGCAACAAGGGATATGGAAAGGTCTGGTTGGTCTCTCCCAGTGGGATCTGTAGGACTGATGAATGATGACCCAGAGGAGTAAGAAATCAGACTTCAATAAGCAGTCAGGAAGGTAGTTAGAGAAGAGCAAGGGAACTGTTAACTGTCTTTTGTGGAGCAATTACTAGCTGGGCCAAAAACCCTCAGGCCTGAGCACAGTCTGTCATAATATTACCCATGCAGGGAGAGGTTGGCTTGGAGATTTTAACTTCAGCTGTTTAAAGTTCCTGGATTTGCAGCACTTTGCACGAAACACATTTGCATGTCTGCATTTGAAATATATTAGGAATGTTTTTATTATCTCTGTGCAATAAAAAATGTTTTAAAGCTGTTAGTAAAGATGTAAACCCCCAAATTTCAGTGATATTTCTTCATCTTTCTATGCTGCATATTAAGAACTAAACCCTTGGTTTTAGTGGTTTCAAAACAGTCTCCATACTTCCTGAGAATTTACATTATTAACCAGCCAGAATTATTTTTAAGACATCCCCTGCTTTTGTGTGCTTAAACCTAGCTCAGGAGAGGAGAGCAGGATTTTATGCAGCCAGCTCTGCAGTGCCCAGCCCGGGAGGTTCATGGTGCTTCACAAAGCCCTGGGAGATCCTCTGACAACACCCAGCTCTAGTTAAAGTCCAGTTTCAACACCATCCCTGCCTCACAGTTTCAGAACGAGTTCTAATTTGCTTGTTTTATAGGTTGTATCTTTATGAAACCAAGGTATGTTTAGCTGCCACAAACAGAGGCAGCTTGGAGTTGATTTTTATAATCTTTTCTTGAATAAGCTGGCGTCATTCCAATAAGCCCTGGACAAAGGAGTGGACAGTTGTCTGAGAGTCTTTTTTATAACATTTCTCTCTTTCCATTGTTAGAGAGCTGCTAATAAAAGAACCAGGAGTCCATTAATTCAGTGAATGAACATATAGTAAAGTCAGTTCCCTCTTGAGAACAATAATGTTGCGGTCAGCTTAGGTTTCCATGGAAACTAAGTACTTCTAAGAAGTTTGCATCCTTGATTTTGCTGAAACGAAGCATGTAAAGCCAAAAAAAAGGTGTGAGGCTGGCAGAGAGGAGTTGGTGAAGAAAGTGATGGTGTTTGTTGTGGGTTTTTTTTGCAGGAATGACATCGGACATTTCATTCCTATGATAGGGATATTTGGGCTTGGTTATGTCATGTGTGTGTGACAAATGGGTCCATGAAGAGGCCTCTGGGTGTTTTGAGCCCATAAATCAGGCCAGGTTAAGATGACTAGCAGTGGTTAGGTCTTCTGTGCCCGTATCTCCAGCCCCTCTGGGTCAGCTGTAGCCACGTGTGTCACAAGCAGAGGCAAGCAGCATGCCCCAGCACAGGGCTCTGCTCCCAGCAGTTCCAGAGGTCCAGATCAGAAGGTGTCTTGGCAGTTCCTGCTTCCCTGCTGGCAGGTCACTGTGAGACAGGGGTAGGGTGGGAGTGCCTCGTTCCATGTTAAATAAGATGGTTTTGTGATTTAGGTTGGTTCTTCTCCTCCTCTCCACTCCAGGTGAGTTCACACTCAAATCACTGCAGCCTGCTCTGTAAAGCCAAGAGCAATGATGTTGATCTGTGCTTTTAGCATTCATTTATAACCTGCTGTTTCATTTTCTTAAATAAGTGAGTTGCTGCAGCTGAGGGGAGTGTCCGACAGGTATCACCCACCTTGTTCCAAGTGACACCATCTCTGTTCCACAGCATCTCTGCAGATAGAAGTGTCCCTTTAGCTCGAGCACTGGCAGTTACGAGGGGTCACCTTGTCTCCATGCAATGCATCTCAAACAAAGCCAGTGATGGGGTTTTGGAGGTGAGGAGGCAGGAGATTGTTCACTGGCAGGACAAACCTGCCTGCTCCCTTCCACCTGAGTTGCTGATCTGCTGTGTCCAGACTGTATGAGGAGCAGAGTCCAACCTGCTGTCCTGGGTAACCCTCGTGCCCCTGCAGGGCTCTGCTTCTGGGGGAGAAAGCCCAAACCACCCCCCTAGTAATTTAGAGCAAGTGTCCAAGTCCTATTTCAGCACCAGTGCAACCCCAGCTCATTAGGGCAGAAACACTCGTTCATTATCTGCTGGTCAAGTCATTAGTTCCCTTCTCCCTCTGTTTGGAAGTGGCTCAAAATCCCGTGTGCTCTGTGGGTGGGTGTCCATGCAGCAGCACAGTCGGGCTCCCTCAGCCCCCTCTCCCCTCCCTGGCTGTATGGGGGGGTTCCTGCCCCACCTGCAGAGCTGCAGGACCCCGAG